AACATCCTACAAGACTCTGGGGAAGAGTGCTCAGATACATACTTGCCTCTGGCTGGCAGGACTGGACTCTGCCATTTTTGAATACCAGGGCAGTCATACTCGCTGGGCCCTGAAGTCCCTCTGTGCTCACAGCCTCCTCACTGGCCTCTGCTCTCCCCCATCAGACCCCCTCCATGTGGCAGAGGGGCTGAGCTTCCTGAAACAGACCTGACCATGATGTTCTCTGCCTGATTGTCTGCTGCTCCTTCCAGCCTCTAGGATCAAGCCCCATCCTCACCTCTGGGCCTTTGTATATGCTGTTTTCTTTGCCTGAAAAGTTCTTTCCTCCTCCTCCTGTGAACTTTCCCATGTCCTTTAAGATGGAGCTCAGACATTACCTCCTCCCAAGAGCCTCTTTGGTGGTTCTGTCACATTTCATTGTAAACGTCTGGTTGACTTCTGTCCCAGTGGTGGGGTTTGCACGGCTCAGTCCACATCTGTGAACCCAGCACACAGCCAGGCACTGTGTGTCACTTGTCTTGTTTGTTTTGTCATTTTTTTTTTTTTGAGTTGGAGTCTCATATCATTGCTCAGGCTGGAGTGCAGTGGCACAATTATGGCTCACCACAGTCTTGACTTCTTGGGCTCAGGTGATCCTTCCACCTCAGCCTCCCAAGTAGCTAGGACCACAGGCATGTGTCACCATGCCCGGATAATTTATTTTAATTCTTATTTTGTAGAGACAAGGTCTCACTATGTTGCCCAGTCTGGTCTCTAACTTCTGGGCTCAAGCAAGCCTCCTGCCTTGGCCTCCCAAAGTGCTAGGATTATAGGCCATCCTGCCTGGCCTTGTCTTGTTTGTTGAATGAACAAGGAGACAAGTGTCCTTGCCTTTGGTGGGGCCACTGACTACCAGCCCTTTCCTTCCATTCTTAATCATTGCTGGGTCCCCACCCTATGGTCTGACTTGTGTTGAAAACAGAAAGGGAAAAGCAGACTTGGGTAAAGGATGAAGGATTCAGGGGTCTATCTTAGGTCTGTCTCTTTTTCTCTCTTAAGGTCACTGTTGAAAATATCAGCTCCATGAGAAGTAAAAAATTCCCTTACTCCCTCTCATTTGTTGTCAGTTAAAGGCATCTGACCCGATCCATTTCAGTTCTTAACAGATAAAAATATAAAATCATATTGTGATTTTTCTTTCTGAACAACTTTTGAACAAATGCTGTGAGCTGGCATTAATTTTTTTGGGGAGGGGGGGCATCAGGGTCTCACTCATTCTGTTACCCAGGCTAGAGTGCAGTGACATGATCCACATCTTACCACAGTCTTAACCCCTGGGTTCAGGTAATCCTCCCACCTCAGCCTCCCGAGTAGCTGCAACTACAGATGCATGCCACCATGCCCAGAAATTTTTTGATTTCTTTTTTTTTTGTAGAGATGCGATCTCGCTATGTTGCCCAGGCTGGTCTCAAACTCCTGGGCTCAAACAATTCTCTTGCCCCAGCCTTCCAAAGTGCTGGGATTACAGGCATGAGCTGCCATACAGCCAACTAGCATGAATATTCTTAATCAAAGATTCTAGGTTAAAATAATTCCATTAAAGATCAATCAGCACAGTATAACAAAATTATAGAAAGATAAATCAATGCAAAAGGACATCTTTATCTCTTAGTGATGATGATATAGTCACCAAAAGTTTGTAATCGTGGCCTAAGATGCAAGAAAAGTACAAACAATACAGAACTTCATCAGTGCCTCCTGACGTTGTCCTCAAGTCAGGGGATATGGCAGAGTCTCCCACACAGGCAGCTGCCTCTGTTTACTCCAGGCCTCCCATCTCAGGGTCGTCTGGGACACAGCAGCCTCTGCAACGCCTGCAGACCTGTTGGAAATGCATCCCCCAGCTCTGCCCAGGCCCACGGATGGACTCGTGTTTGAGGATCTGTGAGGCCAGCTGAGTCTTCCAGGGCTTATGCCGGAAGGAACATGTTTCTCACATGTTCAGCCAAATTCCAGGTCACTGAATCCAAACAACCCATTTAACCCAAGTTAAATGTTGCCTAATTCCACACACAAAAAAGATTCGCTTTCTTTGTTTTAGTAAATGTATAAAAGCATTTATTTCTGATGTTTAAAAACTGTGTTCAACATGTATATTACAAAGCAACCTTGTAACTCAAAAAGGAACTACCATTCAACCCAGCAATCCTACGATTGGGTATCTACCTAAAAGAAAATAACTTGTTCCACCAAAACAAACAAACAAAACAAAAAAACCAAAAAAAAAAAAAAAAAAAAACCCCACAAAAAACAAAACAAAACACCTCTGCACGTGCATGTTTATTACAGCACCATTCATAATAGCAAAGACATGGAACCAACCTAAGTGCCCATCAACAGTGGATTGGATAAAGAAAATGAGGTACATATACACCATGGAATACTATGTAGTCATCAAAAAGATATACGTTTTTTGCAGTAACATGGATGGGGCAGGAGGCCATTATCCTAAGTGAACTAACAGAGATGCTAAAAACCAAATACTGCATGTTCTCACTCATAAGCGGGACCTAAACATTGGGTGCACATGGACATAAAGATGGAAAAATAACCACTGGAGACTCCAAAATGGAGGCGAGGAGAGAAGGGTGCAAGAGTTGAAAAACTACCGGTTGGGTATCATGTTCACTATTTGGGTGATGGGTTCAATAGAAGCCCAAACCTCACCATCACACAGTTTGTTCCTGTAACAATCCTGCACATGTACTCCATGAATCTAAAATGAAAAGCTACCTTGTATGGCCCAGTGATTCAGTGTCTAGATGGTCCCATGAGACCAAGTGCTGTTTTTCTCCTCCCACCCACTTCTCTCTTTCTTCCTCTCTCTCCCCCAAGTTATGACAATTAAAAATGTCTCCAGGCTGGGCTCAGTGGCTCAGCCTGTAATCAAGCACTTTGGGAGGCTGAGGTGAGTGAATCGCCTGAGCCTGCAGGTTCGAGACCAGCCCGGGCAACTTGGCGAGACCTTGTCTCTACAATAAATAAAAAAATTAGCTGGGTGTGGTAGCGTGTGCCTGTAGTTCTGGCTACTCAGAAGGCTGAGGTGGAAGGATTGCTGGAGCCCAGCAGG